AATCATTCTTCTTTTCCTTTTTGCTCTTAGCTATTATGCCTTTTGTAGCTAACATATCAATATATATCTCCATCAAAGCCTTTCTTGCAATTGATTAGAAAATCTAGCTCTATGTCGTTTTTTTATTCTTTCTAGTGTGCACGAGTTTACTGATGTGTCCTGAGAGGTTGCTTTTGCTCATCTTAATCTACCTTTTTTAGGGCAGGGGCACTGTTGATCCGACGGAAACTTTGGAAGAGGTCTACTCTTTGCTGCTAATAATCGGTCATGTACTTGCAGATGAAGGGGAAGGGGAGACTGCCTTGGTAATTCTTTACCTTTCCTGCATCTTTTTGATGTTATCACAGAAAGAAAGATGCTGACAAGTTTTCCTTCCATTAAGTTCCTGTCTATTATGAATATCTTGGTATTCTGAATGCCTTCATCTATCAAAAAATAAGAAACGTATTATTACCAGATATATCAATTTCAAACGGATAGGTCTTAAAACTATCCTTTTTATTAATAAGTAAATAACCAGTTTCAAACGTAGTTTTCATTCGAGGCCTGTTATAATTCTATTTTTTCACTTGTAAATTCTTCCCAAGAGTAATTACGAGATGATGTTATCACCAACCAGGTTCCTGATGCTTTGCAATCTCATTTTGTGGATGTTGTTGAGGCAAACAACCACCCTGTCGTGGTACTCTCAAGGTAAGCTTAAATAGAAGCCTTTCACGACTGAACAGATGAGTGAACTTGAATAATTTGATATTACCAACAATAGATGCCTTCAGTTTTCTTGTGATTCTAAGTTACCATCATATCTCTTTTTGAGTGTTGTACTGTTTCTAAGTATTTATAAGTTAGTCTTGAATTTTACTTGAGATACTAGAGCCATACTATATTGAAATTGTTGTGCAGAGTTTTCTCTGAACAGTGGCTATGCTCGTTCATTATCAATTTACTAACTTCGATTGTCTTTTGTTTTTAATTGAAGCTCAATAATAAAATTCGCCGAGCAATGTTTGGATGCAGAAATGAGATCATCGATCTTTAGTCCTCGGCTAATGGAGGTACTTCTAATTCCTGAACTGGGTAAATTATGACCTGTTTCGAATACACAGATTCAAATGCATAAAATTTATCTTGGTCATTAAGCGTTAAAAGAAGAAATTTATTACAGTTTGGTACCTGTTTCCTGTATATTGATTTGGGAAACATATGTAGGCAGTCATATGGTTCCTCGCAAGATGGTCTTTCACATATCTAATGCTCGTTGAAGACTGCAATTTGGGTAGCAACCAGCTTCAGTCTCTACGTTCAAGAGCATGTTTATTCACGTTTTTCAACGAACACAATCAGGGGAAGTTTGTCCTTGATATAATTGTCCGGATCTCCTTGACATCGCTCATGTCTTACCCTGGTGAAAAGGACTTGCAGGTAGTAATCTTCAGTCCTTCTAAAAACATTTTGAGTTTTGATAACCCTCGCGTTTATTCAATGGTATTTTACTTTGTACAAATACTATTTTTGGTTTGCTGGATGGATATATCATTCAATTAGTTGTTTGACTTTACAAATTTTGATAACTAAAGGACTTTAGGCCAGGGAATCCAGTTAGCTACAGCGAGATTTCTCTTAGGGTTTAATGTGAATTTTCTTATAAGCTGTAGGTTACTTAACTCCCATTTCTTCAAGAATGGTATTCCCCTAATCTTTTTATTTCTTTTTCGCTCTCTGCAGGAGTTAACATGTTTTCAGTTACTGCATGCACTTGTTCGACGAAGAAATATTTGTTTTCACCTTCTATCACTGGTGAGTTCAGAAACTCGCCATAGTCGGGCGTAAATGGGGCCGATTTCTGTATCTTGCTTTGTTTCCAATACAAATGAGATTTTAAACTTCGGCTTCTACTCCTCTATTATATTTACCACTTGTTTTTTTAGAATCCACAACATTTCTCTGTGGGTAAAATGGCTGCTAGAAAAGCTGTTTTACTGGGAATCACTCAACTTATTTTTTTTTATCCACTGGGAAAAAAAAAGCCTTTTCCTTAGAATTCTTGTAGATGAACTTATTCTGTTTCTTTAGTATCTAACGTTTTATCTAAAACATTCAGGACTCCTGGCGTAACCTGGCAAATGCTTTTGCAAATGACAAAACATTGTTTTTACTAAATAGTGTTAGTCAGGTATATTCCTAAAGTTTGCATTTTGGCTCTTTTGTATTCATGCATGGTCTGTTTTTTGAAATGATATTACTTCTATTCAGCGTTCATTGGCTCAAACCCTTGTTCTTTCTGCTTATGGAATGCGAAGTTCAGATGCATCAAATCAGTGAGTTACCAAAATCTTTGCACTTCGCTCACATCTTAACCACAAATTTTGCCTGACCAATAACCTTCTTTCTATTTTCGAAAAGATATGTGAAGGACCTCATGGCTCATATGACATCATCTCTAGTGGACTTGTCCAATAACAGTGATCTTAAAAATTTGGCTCAACAACCTGATATTATCATGCTGGTGAGGAAGAAAAACACGTGAAAAGTTAGATTTAGTTATTGATAAATTCTTATGAACGGAATGGTTCTGTCGTATTTTGTGTTAGGTGAGTTGTGTGTTAGAGCGGCTTCGAGGAGCGGCAAGTGCCACTGAACCCCGGACACAGAGAGCAATATATGAGATGGGGTTGTCTGTCATGAATCCTGTACTCCGTCTTCTCGAGGTTTACAAACATGAGGTACTGTTCGAGGCGCAAATATAGTGATCACATGTTATACGGATTATGATGAAGTCTATATACTTAACATTTCAGTACCGATGGTGTACTATACTCTACCTGTCTTCAAAATCCTTGCGGTTGGTTTTTGGCAATTATGGTCAGAAAAACCACTAATTTTTTGTTATTGCTTAGTCTGCAGTGATATATCTTCTTCTTAAATTTGTCGTGGATTGGGTGGATGGGCAATTATCTTACCTAGAGGCTCATGAAACAGCCGTTGTCATTAATTTCTGCATGAGTCTTCTACAAATATATTCGTCACACAATATTGGGAAGGTAAATCTGTTCCCCTATCTCTTCCTTACTTCTCTGTTCAGGCTGAGCGTCACTGTTTGAAAGCAGACAAGTGAAGTTATTGTGTACCCTCACATACACTTGCTTTTTTTACCTCAGATATCATTGTCTCTCTCTAGTACCTTGCTTAATGAAGCAAAAACCGAAAAGTATAAGGATTTACGCGCTCTGCTTCAGCTACTTTCCCATCTATGCTCTAAAGATATGGTAAACGTTCTTGCTTTCACGTACTGTAGAAAATATATAACACATTCACCAGTATTCCTTATCTTCTAACAACTGGTACTACCTTTTGCAGGTTGATTTTTCATCTGATAGTATTGAGACACAAAGCACTAATATTTCCCAGGTAAACCAAGTTTATTAAGATGAATTCAACAAGAATGGTTTGTGTAATTTCTTGAACTTACAGGTGGTGTACTTTGGTCTCCATATAATCACTCCACTTATAACTTTGGAACTCCTCAAATACCCCAAGCTTTGTTTCGATGTAAGGCTTTGCATCAACCATTGATCAAACCTCTTGTAGTACTTTTAATGTTATAATTTTCACTTAGAGATCAAATTCTGCAGTATTTCTCGCTCATTTCACATATGCTCGAGGTTTACCCCGAGACGCTCGCACAACTCAACAATGATGCATTTAGCCATGTAGTTACAACAGTTGACTTTGGTCTTCATCAGCAGGTGAAGTAAAATCTTCTTTTCAGAGATAGTAAGCAAGCCATTTTACTCTTGTTTAACAGCAATGTGAAAGCAAATCTATTTATTGATATGCTCATCAGGATGTCGATATAGTCACAATGTGCCTGAGAGCTCTAAAGGCTCTTGCTTCATATCACTACAAAGAGAAAAATACTGGCAACTCGGGTTTGGGTTCTCACGCTGCTGGACACACAGATCCAAATGGAGTATTCCATGAAGGAATACTGAGTCGATTCCTTCGTACATTGCTTCACTTCCTTCTTTTTGAGGATTACAGGTATTAAACTCTATACACCAAAATCACTCAAAAGCGCTCTCTCTAATGGTTTGCTTTTAGTGTTTTTACCGGTTTCTTGTTTCAGTACCGACCTAGTCAGTACAGCAGCAGATGCCTTGTTCCCTCTTATTCTCTGTGAACCAAATCTTTACCAGGTCAGTATTTTATTGTTCTCACTTAAAACTAGTAAACCGAGTTTCTATGTCTTAAACAGCAGTAACTTAAACAGTCTGTGCTACCTCTAGGGATTGGGCAACGAACTGATTGAGAAGCAGGCGAATCCGAACTTTAAAACTAGGCTAGCAAACGCGCTTCAGGTGCTCACAACGTCAAACCAGCTATCCTCATCCTTGGACCGTCTCAACTACCCAAGATTCAGAAAGAACCTCAACAACTTCCTTGTTGAAGTTCGTGGGTTTCTCAAAACTAGGTGACCGAATTTTAGAACTTGTGTTTTTTTGGGTTGTAAAAAGAATTTACTTGATAGACGTGTTTTTTCCGTTTGTAACAATTTAATTTTACTTTAAGAAATGCAACCCTATTATTAGACAAAAAAAATAATGTGATCATCTCTGATATAAATTTAGAAGATGTAGTTTAGCAAAAGGTACTGAATACACAAAATTATCTGAGCAGTCCATAAAATAATATGTACCATAGAACTGTTTTCATTGAAGTCATTGGATCAAAGTTTTGCATTGGGTCAAAGTTTTTCTTTTGGTTAAAAGGCTTTGCATTTAGTCAAGTTACAATAAATGTCAGAAATTCTCTTGGACCAAATTCACATGAGAATTTGATACATATGCCATTAATTCTTCACCTTCTATTGTGCGCAACAAATATTTATCTGTAAATACGGAAGATCAGTTATTAGTGTGATAAATTAGGTAAATTTGAGATTTCCCAAGACCAAGGGTTATATAAATAGTTTGTCTCTAAGATCAGAAAATGAAGAAGAAATTTCTCGTTGTATCAACTTTTATATAAACAAAATTACTGGCTATCACAAAAACTTTGATGACTTTTTGTCTTCTAATAACACTAGTAGTAGTTTCGTTGTCTAACCACAACGTTTTGGCATCAGGTATGTCTATATATAAGATATTTTTCAATTAGCTGTGATCGTTTTACTGACAATTACTAAACATGTAGAATTGGCATTGATCATGTATATATTCTTATGTGGGTTTGTGTAGGTGAAGAGCTGAAAAAAGTCAGATACACTTGCGAACAAACATTGTGTACGTACCGTTACGGAAACCATGAATGCTTCGTTGACTGTGTTATGGAACATCATAGAGATGGAGAGTGTAGATCTCCTTCCCCTAAGGCTCCTTTACAATGTTGTTGCGTTGATTAGTGATTAATGATTGGATAGACTGTATCATTTTTCATTTATAATAAAGGAAATAATGTGATTATCTCTGACTGGAGTTTAGAAGATGTAGCTTACCAAAAAATACTAAAGAAATACTTTTTTCACCAAAATTATGATGCTAAAAGGAAATCCAAATAGCATTTGTATTAGGAATGTGATCTAACTTAACCCAAAAGGTAGCTCAAGAGTTAAGGATTGCCACATCATTTATATACTACCCAAAGACCTTAATCCCAAGCAATGTGGGACATTCTAATAGGCCTCCTCGAGATGTGGATGGGAAACGGTCCAACGGGAAACAGCCCAAGCCCAACATCTCCGAAATACAACAAGACATGCCACTTATATGGGCCACATAGGTGGGAAACCATTTTTGTGAGAATTTGCTTGTTGGGCCAACCTTGGGCTCTGATACCATATTAGGAATGTGGCCTAACTTAACCCAAAAGCTAGCTCAAGAGTTAAGGATTGCCACATCCTTTATATACTACCCAAAGATCTTAATCCCAAGCAATGTGGGACATTCTAATAATTTGCTTTGATGGCGGTCTTTGTAAACAGAATTTACTTTGTAGAGGTGGTTTTTTCCGTTTGTAACAATTAAATTTTAATTTAACAAATGCAAACCCATTATTAGACAAAAGAATAATGTGATCATCTCTGATATGAATTAGAAAATGTAGTTTAGCAAAAAGGAAAAAAAGTACCGAATACAGATGAATTAGATAATATATGCAAAATTCCTCTTTAACCAAATTCAAATTAAAAACTTTTTAAACTCTTACTTTGATTTGCGACGATATAAATAAATGTCAACGATCTTTCTGTCAAAGTATTACATGCTTTTTTCATGAGGATCGATTGTTTGAAACATGTTTGTTAACTTCTGAATTGTAATCTGAACCCACTAAAATTCATACCTTTGTTCTTTATACGCATCTATACGTAACATTTGTTCATCTCTTGTCTCTGAATCCAAGTCCAATTGAGATCAAGATTTTCATCACGCTGGAGAGTCGCCGTCCAAGGCGGAATATGGGTTCGTTAATTCATGATACATGTTGACAAGTGTGTGCCGTTTTAAAAACCACGTGTAGACCACAAAACAGCACACATTTCTCAGCTTATGGTTGTAAACGACAGAGCATTAAGTCTTGATTTTTTACTACTAGCTATCTTATTGTTTTACCAAAGCAAAACAACGACGTTTAGTAATCCGTCCAAAAATATAGAGCCGTTTGATATGATCGAAATACTGGATCTGCAATGGCAGGCCGCGGTGTCATTGACTTGCAATTCTAATTTAATTTTTATTTTTTTATCAAACCAACTTTGCATTGTAAGGGAGTCGAAATTTAATGAGTTTTTTTCATTTAATTTGGATAGTTATTGGATCATCTTTACAAAGGCTTGCTTTTGCATTTACTAATTACTTCTAATTACGTGCTCTTGAGAAAAAATATTAAATGAAAGTCAAACTGATTCGGTTTGGTATAACAAATAGACTTTAACTATTTTTGCCACATCATCAACCCACAATTTGAATACTTTAGGATTTTAAAATTTTTAAATCAGTTACCAAATCAAAATTTTATACCTTCCAACAATGAACAATGAAATCTTGCATTTACTTAATAAGTTTATTGACCATAATGATATTATAAGCAAAAAAATCCTCTTTAACCAAATTCAAAAGTTTCAAGACTTTTTGAAACTTTTACTTTGATTTGCGACCATATATAGTCCTTACTAAATGATACAAGCAAAAATTTTAATAAATGTCAAGGATCTTCCTGTTAAAATATTAAATGTTATTATTTGTCACAAATATGGAAAATCAATTAATAGTAAGAAATTTTGCAAGACCAAAGCTTTATAAATAGAACTTCTCTCTACTATATTTCTAAACAGGTTTCATACAAAAAATAATATTATTATGGGTGTTTCAAAAACGATTGTGACTTTTTTTCTTGTAATAGTATTTACAGTTCTGTTGTCCAACCATAACATTTTGGTTTCAGGTATGTTCAAATTTTGATATATTTTCAACTTAGTATGGATGATTCTAAAAGCAATAGCTAAACATGTAGAATTTGTAGTTACTATGTTTTTATTACAGTTAATATGTACAGTATGTTGGTTTGTGATCTTTGACAAAAAAAAAAATCTATGTATGTTGGTTTGTGTAGGTGAAGAGATAGAAAAAATTTCATATGACCACTGCGATACGTTGTGTACGCCTTATTACGGATGGCATGAATGTTTAACTGACTGTAATAATGAAGGCTGGGCAACTGGGATATGTGCTTCTCGTTCTTCTAAAGAACCTAAGAGATGTTGTTGTCAAACGTAATCTTTTATTAAAAAGAAAAAGAACACATAATCTTCGCTATAATGAATAATTGATGATTCGAGTGTTGTAAAAGATCCTATGGAATTTATGAAATGGAAAAAAAAAAACAGCGTTTTTTTTATCAAGGCGAATAAACATTCAGTGACGTATACCTCCCTCGTTATAAATATCTGAAAAGGGATTTTTGTTTTGTTTAAAGGCTTTTTCTTTCAATGTTAGAGAGCCTTTATGGCCCAATTGGCTAAGCAGCCTAACACACGGATAGAAGAAGCAAAGTAAAAAGTCCACCACCCATGAGAATTTCAAAACGGAAGGGAGAAAAGCCCATCATAACCCAAGTTTTTGCGAAGTCTGGAGTGGAATTGTGGAACCTCGAAAGAAGCTTGTAGAGGACTTATCAGCCGAATGCTTGCGATTTTGTTCCGATGGTTTGTGGTCTCTTATTAGTAGATTGTACAGTAACCATATCGGATCTGCGAAATTGTTCGAAATTGAGGAGCTAATTAGCAATTAGCATTCCCCTGTGAAGTTAAAAGAACAATCTTTGATGAGAATTTTAAGTTTGTAGCTTTGAGTTTTAGTAAAAAAAAGTCAGGTTGTTTTGCTTTGTGTTATATTTTGCTAGATAACTTGTGTCATGTATCTCATCCTCTATTCTTCTTGTTCAAATCCATCAACCTAATTACTACTCCCTCTATTTCACAAATAGTGTCATTTTAGAGTTTTGCACACAGATTAAGAAAACATTAAATTTTTTGTTTTTCTAAACAAAAACATCATTAACTATATACCTAAACATAATCTGCCCAATGGTAAAACAATATGCAGAATACTAATAGTCATAAAACATAAAAAATTATTAAATTTTGCACTGAAAACCTAAAACGACACTCTTTGTGAAACAAAAATAAAACCTTAAAACGACGCTCTTTATGAAACGGAGGGAGTATTATTTTGTTGAAGAGCACTAAAATACTTTTAAAACTAAAAAAAAACTTCCAAGTTCCAACGATGAATTAGCAATGAAATCTTGCATTTACTTAATATATTTACTGACCATAATGATAATATATGCAATTAATCCTCTTTAACCAATTCACAAGGTTCAAGACTTTTTGAAACTTTTACTTTGATTTGCAACCATATATATAGTCCATACTAAATGATATAGCCAAAATTTTAAATAAATGTCAACGATTTTCCTGTCAAAATATTAAATGTTTTTTTACAAATATGGAAATCAATCAATATTAAAAGATTTTGCAAGACCAAATCTTTATAAATAGAACATCTCTCTACTATATTTCTAAACAGGATTCATACCAAAAAAAAAATTATTATGGGTATTTTAAAAACTGATGTGACTTGTTTTCTTGTAATAATATTTACAATTTCATTGTCCAACCATAACATTTTGGTTTCAGGTATGTTTTAATTTTATTTTATTTTAGTTTAATAGTATGGATCGATCAAGATCTAAAAGCAATAGCTAAACATCTAGAACTTTTAATTACTTTTTTCATATCAGCTAATATGTATGTTGGTTTGTGATCTTCGACAAAAAATCTATCTATGTGGGTTTGTGTAGGTGAAAAAACCTCATTCGACCACTGCGATACGTTGTGTACAGATTATTACGGATGGCATGAATGTTTAACTGACTGTACAATAGAAGGCTACGTAAGTGGGTTATGTGCTTCTCCTTTTCCTAACCAACCTAAGCGATGTTGTTGTCAAAAACACCCTCTAATAATTGGTGATTGAGTGTTGTAATAAATGCCATGGAATAAAAAAGAAACTATTTATGATAAAACGTACTATTTTTAATCAAAGGCGAATAACATTATAGTAACGTATATCCCCCTCTTTATAAGCACATTATACAATAAATAAATAAGTATCTACTAAATGTAAATTACTTTTTTTTTTGTTTTAAACTAACTTTAAGTTTGATCTGATTTATAACAAATGCCTTTCTAATCTCTTCAATAATCTTAAGTACTAATATTTGTCACAAATTAATTTATGTGATATTCTATGTAATTCTTCATCTTAGTTTCGGTATATTTAAAATTTTAATATATCATTTTTAAATCATTTACAAATCTGCATTGATAAATGATTTATATATTATTTTCAAATAAAATCCTGAAAAAAATAAAATGAAATTATAAAAAATTCAACAAAAAAATTCAAGATTTTCTCTTTTTGTTTTTTAATTTGAGAAACCTACACTTAATAAATATTTTAGACACTTCTCAGAGGTTGACAAATTTTTGGGAATTGTTATTACAAGTTTTGGATATCGACTTTGGAAGACATTTTAATATTTCTGGTTTTTTAGTAACATTTCTTAAATATTGAAAAGTTTTCCTAGAGAACCTATTCAAATCAGTTATTTGTTTGATTATTAATAAGGGATGTGGATCAACGGCATGCTTGTGAGTTTAAATTTGATAGTTCTTCCGTGGGGTTGAGATCTAACTGTGGTTTGTTACAATAACATAAATTACGAGTTTTCTAATGAATGTCAAACGTTTTAGTAAATAACTTTGATGTGAAAATCTAACTTCTTTGTCATACGTTGAGATGAAAATCTGATGTGGAATAATAACCATATCGGATCAGCAATATTGGATTGATATTAAGGAGCTAGTTAGCAATTAGAATAACCATGTGAAGTTACAAAATTTAGCACTGGAAATCTCTGGATCAGCTTAGTAAGAGGGGTTAGGATTTAACATTCAAGGATATTAAAGCCTTTCAATTTAGCACTCATGTTTTAGCTAAAGAAGGTTGGTTGGACTCTCTGGATCTTTGGATTTCTTGTTCTTATTATCAGTTTAATCACTTTAAGTTGCCCACAACAACAACAAAAAGTTCTTTTTGGGCACCAAATTAGACTTAACATATAAAATAAGTGTGCGAGTATGTTATTCAAGAAAAAAAAAACAGATAAATTTTTGGGGGCAACAACAATGAGTTTCTCAGTGGTCTTGTTCCACAATCCCACTATAACAACAACAACAATCTTCACAATCTCATCATCTTTCAGACGACGAAGAACTCTTTCTTTATCTAATCGTATCTTCCCCTCCCCCAATGAACCTAAACCCTTGGTTAAAAAAAAAACTTCAAATCATCGAAACCCTAGCCGCCAGAGACACAATCATAGACTTTGGCAACCACAAGGGCAAAATGCTTGGTGCTTTGCCTTCTTCTTACCTCAAAATGGGTCTCAAAGAATCTTCGTGCAGCGATTCTGAGTATTGGGCAAAGCTTGAAGACGATGTTTATAAAGATAAGAATTTGCAGAGAAAATCCTTCATGGAAGTGATGAAAGCATGAAAAGAAGAACAGATAAGAAGCAAACTCTGTTTCGATGTTGTTGGAGATTAGTGAGAGATTTGGTTGGGACAATGAATATAAGAATTGGTTAAGGCAAAATAAATTTCGAGCTTTTGGGGACAAGTAAAGGGTGTCGAATTCCTAGGTTAAGGAAGATGAACGAAGAAGAAGATGATGAGACAGAGTCTGGGGACAGATGATGGCAAAACGGTGACTATGAGTGAGCAGAAGGGTATTTCGGGAAAGCTAGAAGATGTAGAGAAGCAACTTGAGCCAAAGATTCGAAGTCCATTTCTGGTCGTGAGAGTCTGTTGAAGAAATTGATGAACAAGAAGAGAAGGTCTCCGTGAAAAGTTTCTTTTGATTTGAGTTTAAATTTCACAAAAAAGAAGCAAAAAGGCAGATCCTTTAATTTGAGTTTGTGTAACTGAAAATTACAAACTTTGCTTCATATGTTGATAATTGATCCCTTAATTGAACCTGGAAAAGGAAAGGACAAGAGAGCTGAGACGAGCAAGATGAAGAACAAAGAATCCAGAAAGTAGAAGAAGAATATGAATCGATGAGGGTTAGAGGAAGAAGAAGAAGTGTTTTTTGTTGAAGGGTTTTTTTTGGGCCCAATACGTTTTTACTAAGGGTAATTAGATTAGTTTGGTTAGTCTAGGAGAGTTGTTAAGACAAGCTTGTACTTGTAATGATGGTCTAGAAGTTGAGTGTGTCTAAAATTAAGAAGGTAAGGAGTAGGGAATGGGTTAAGTATAAGTTGTTTGTTTTCTTTTGTGTAAGTATTGTATGCTGTTCTTGTAATCAAGTGTGAGAAATAGTACAAGTTTAAAGAAAACACATACTTCTTAAGAGAAAAATGAGACAAAGCCACTCAAAGACCCAAATCTCAACATTATATGCTAAACTTAAATCAATCAATCAATCAATTCAAAGAAACTTCCTACTCATTTACATACTCCTCTGCATCCAAAATCAGAATCCACAATCTGTAAAACCATGATTTCCAAATTATCCAACTGTTAAAGATGTTAACCCATCCACAAACTCTGATGGCCCACCTCTTGGCTGGAGACCTTCCTTTCCATGAAAGATTAATTAATGCGGCACAAAGTCTAATCAAAGAAGGGGCAAGAGTAGTTGTGCGAAATGGAGATATTAAAGATATCTTGCAACATCATTGAATCCACTCTAATTCGGCTAGACGTATCAAGGTACCCTCCCAATATTGTAGGCTAGTCTCGAAACCTTGATATATATTCCACATAGGCTGTGATGATTCTGTATGTAACATATGATTCTCGTTCACCTAACGAGCCTAAGAGATGATTCTGTATATTTGACAACGATAGACTAAAATTTGTAGACAGTTTGAGTCCATTAATTGCATTTAATAGAGGAGATTTGACGACTTGCACTATCTGACTCGGGATAATTGAGGAGAATATAGGCAATCACTAGAAATTAAACATTATCGAGTTTTAATTTGTCATACAACGGCAAACTGAAGAGAGGCTAAAAACAAACTAAAAAAGCAAAAAAAGACTGATACAAAAGTAAAAAACAATCGAATCAATTATAATGTGAACCGCTCCCGCATGCATAGGTCCCCCGTAAGAAAAACTTGTGTTGCTGGACTTCTTGATGTCGTAGTAAGCGGGGTTCGTTGTCCCCACTATGAGATCGTCGGTCGGCTGGAAATCGCGGTTGTTAGTCACGATTTCCAAGTCGCGCATGTAAGCAGCTTTGGCACTGCTCGGAAGATACCCAGATCCCATCTGAGTAGTCGTGTGTCGACCAGAGAAGTTGGTGTTTACTATCTCACCGCCCCACTGCACCCTCTCTGCATAGTCGCTGAGGCAAGTAAAGATTTCGGTCGGCCAATAGCCAACTGGCGTAAGTACAGTATCATTGGCCGAACCGATAGACAACCACCAATGTCCGAGATGCGGATCCTACAATAATATTATTTATAAATAAGAAAATTGTTGCATAATAAAGCCAAAAAAAAAAAAATCCTTACTTTCCAAATTTGGATTGTGATTTGGGGAGACATAAGAGAAATAGCGCCTTCGATGAGGACAGTGCCACTGGTTTGTACAAAACCAGCGCATTGAAGATTGTAACACCTATAGCGGGTGTATGCATCTCTCTACAATAAAAATGCATTATTAGTTCTCTATAGAAAACATATTAATTAAAATAAATTAAAAATATATCACCCTTACCGTCCAGAAAATAAAAAATCTCGGCTGGAAATCCGAATATAGCCCGGGGAAAACCTAGAAAACAAAATAATGATAAAAAAATATAATTTTAGTCATTTCGCATATACATAAGTTTTTAATTTAAAGAAAAAGCTTACATAACAAATAGTTTTTAGAAATATTTCGTAAATAATAATTGTTTCATTAAAATCTAACCTGCCATCCGGCTTCGATGGAGTTCAAATCACCTTTTTTATAAGAACCTGCGACTAGCCAGAGCTGGCCTAGACTGAACTCGCGGACTTGATCTACTTTAGGGTGACCGACACTCATTGTGACCTTTGTTCCGTAAATTTGCATGGTGCTGTTCAAATACCCGATAGCGTACTGTATTTTTCAAAACAATATAAAATAAGGTTACTGTTAAATATATGAAAGAATAATAAATTCATTGTTAACGTATCTATATATGTATCCAAATTCCGTTTTTAGATTTAGTTAGTTAGTTTCGGTTCTTATGGTTTTGTGAAATTAGACTGTCAAATAAAACCAAATATTATTTCGGTTGATTTCAATAAAATATTATGATATAATATAAGCTACTAATTAATTTCAGTTAACATTATATACATCTAAAACTATTTTTCATATATATGTAATTAATAATATTCATTTTAAGTGAGTTTTGGTTGAATAAAATCAAGATTTGGTTCAACTATATGTTTCAGTATAAAACATTTTGTACCGTTCAAGTTCGGAACGTTGAATTGTTGGTTCCATTCATATTTTAGTAAAATGGTAAAAAAAAAAAAAGCCGGACCTCGTGTCCTTGGGTGACTTCTGCTCCAGCCCGAGAATTCGTAGTCCCGTTCTCGTGTCCTACCTCCCTCCGTATCGGAATCGTCCCCTCGGGACATGTCGACCCGCTACGGTGCCACGTCTGCCAGGTAAGCTCATCTCGATCTTTGGCTAAATTAGGAAGATTTTTTGGTGTCTCCTGTATATTAATGCGTTTCAGAAAAGAAAAACATTATATTAATAAAAGTTAAACACATAGTACGTATTTGAAACTGAGTAAAAAAAGTAAAAAATTATATAGAAATTAAAAAAAAAACCTGAAGCTTGTGATCTTTGAGGAGAGGATGACGGAATGCCGGCTGAGCTAAAATGTCTGTGCAGTCGACTATATCGCCATCAGGACTCTGTTACATTTTTACAGAAAAAAAAAAAAAAAAATGAATTAGTTAATTATATTATAATATAATATATAACTAAAATTTGTGTAAGGTGTGTTTTTTTTACCTGGATGGTTGTTGAGAATCCCACCGTGACGCACAAGGTAAGTGCTAAGCAGAAGCACAATGTCACCATCTGTGGAAAGGCAAACCCCAAGTGAGATTTTAGTTATTCAAAAAAAAAACTAAAACAAAAAAAAACTAAAAAAATTGGCAAACCTTCTCACTATCTTCTTTCTCTCTCTCTAGATCAGTTGCAGTGAAGTTCTTCTTATGTCTGTCGAAGAAACTATGTAGGCTCTGTTCGGAAGTAAGATACGTAAATGCATAAGCAGAAACTTGATTATATAAGTAAATGCATAAGCAGAAAAAATACCAAAGCTTACTTTTATCACTTGGCTTACTAGCACTATACCAGAGATCGACTTAGGCGTTGGAATCTTCCGGTGCCTGCTGCTGATCTTCTTTGTCTTGCTGAGGAAGAATCAAGGAATCATCTCTATTTTGAATGATCCAACACCAATACTCTATGGTCGATTTCTTTGCTCAAGACTCCACTCTACAAACTATCCGATAGATCTATGCTTCACCTAAAAAGAGACATTCAATTATTGCTCAGAAGAAGACTTGCTTGGCTGGACAGAAACATGATCCAAACAAAATCCAACAAGATCTCCTTCTCAAGAAACTTACCTCTCTCTTTGGTTCTCCTTCTTCCAAAATCTATCTTTCACCACTCTTTTTGTTTAGGAAGCTGTTCGCTCTTTCTTGAAAAAAAAGACTTGTAATATGTGCTAAAGGCACCTCTTTACTGTTTATGGCTCTAATATATAAATGCCGGTATCTCTTTGGAAGGTTTAAAAAAAAAAAAAATGGTTTCGGAGAGGAAATTGACGACTTGAAACGCTCACAAAAGCTCCGGCAAAAGAAAGAATTAAAACACGTACAAACCTGTGAAAACAGAAATATCAATAGAAATTAAGGAGGATGCGAAGAATGAAATTATGAGGGATTTTCAAAGGTTGACTCACATGTATGGAAGGAGAGGCAGATTGTGAGAAAGAAGCTTAATGACCTGAATTACTCACAAGAGTATATGCAGAAGAAGACAAAGATTCAGTCTTTAGCTAAAAAGTTAATCGTAGAAGCATTTAAAAATAAGAAGAATTATTGAAAGTAAAATAAGAATGTTTTTACTTTTTAGCTAGTGCACTGATAAGTCGAGAAGAAGTGCGTTCCTTTAAGAATGACGAAATAAGAATGTTTGGTTTATCAGTGGGGTTCACTTTTTGGATGATGAAATAGGAATGTTTTTCGTTTTTAGGTTTACATGGACCTTCGTTTTCTTCTATACTAACAAGTAAAAAGTACTATCTGGGATGAAGACATATTATTTTAAATTCTTTCGGTAAATCCCAAAATACTTGTGATTTGGTGGACATCTGTATTCATGCTTTTCTCTCTTACTACCCTCTCTCTCTCTCTCTTTCTCCGGTTAAAACTGGTTCATGTAATTTTCTTTTTTTTTTTTTGAAAAAGAAACCATGTAATGTTTATTAGAAAGATTACTTTCACAAAGAAGAAAAAATATCTACAACGCATCAATAAATTGGTGATTAACTTTCTTTACATCAGACGTATTTAGGAATTGTGTGTTAGCTAGCTAGATCCTAAAAGATCTTAAGAAAATTAATCAATGTGATAATGGTTGTTAGGGGCGGAATAAGTTAAAAGGGATATATGGTAATGATATATCCACCCGTGTGACCTTATAAGGTTGATTTTGTTTACACATACGTTAAAATATTTATTTTGTGGCACGCAGACGCAGTTATACTTTTAAAAGTTTATTAAAATTTCTTTGGAGGAAAATTAAAATTTTAGGATTTGAAATCGACACCCAAATTGTATTATTGAGAGAGTGTAGATTTTTAAAAATGATGTTGACGTTGTGGTCCATCTCCTCATTTTAATTGCCCTTGGATCTAGTAAAACTTTTAAATCTTTTCTTTGGTTTCTGTTTGGATGATTTATACTTTGTTAATCACACCAAATTCCAAATTCTTTTTTTCTTTTTTTTTTTTACTTCTAGGAATCTGGTATGAATCAGAAATTCCAAAATCCTGTTATAAGTCACGCAAATTAATTACGTTAGAAAATATGATGTCTCGAAAAAGTTTTCAGGCCTTTATATAGCTTGTTATACCATTAAAGAATTATGTTAGGTTGAATTTACATCAATTTTTCTTTCAATCCCTTTGAATTTCTTTTTGCTTGTAATATATATATATATATATATATATATATATATATATATATATATATGTTCAGATTCCACTTGGCTGTAATAATTAATTGAGTTAAAAGGATGTAGACGTTGTGCTCGAATCTATTTTGGAAACACGTTTTTACAAAGCAAACACCATTGATTGAGGTCTAAACATAGCAACTCGATCAATAATACATATATACTTTTTTCAACAAACTAATTAAAGATAAGAATATTCGTTTTAGTTTGGACTTAAGTTTGTGTCAAAATACTTGTTACTTTTCAACTACCAATCATTGTCAAACAAGAAAATTAACCGTGTGGTACAGTGGTAGTTCTGTGATTAATTTATCTACGAAACATTTTATAGAAAGATTTCCATTTTACCTTTGGCTACGTTGTTAGTTTGGTGAGTTGGTGTAGTAGGGTTTATTAGTGGGGTTTATCGTTTGTCTCAAATGACAAAATAATAATTTTCTCCAAAACTGGATCTTCGGTTTCGATACTCCAAAAACTTTTTTTTTTTGTTCAACTCGATACTCAAAAGTTATATTTATTGATAAAGACATTACAGTATTTGGAATATATCCCAAAATGGAAACCTGCGAACTAAACTTTGTCGACTTGTGATTTAGTGGACTCTCTCTCTCGTCAAAGCATCAATAATTGGTCATTATCTTTCTTTACGTCAGACATAATTTAGGAACTGTGTTAAATCCTAATGATCTTAAGAAAATCAATCAATGTTATAGCTACGGGAATAATTTAAAATATAGGGTAAATTTATTCGTCCGTGAGATCTTAATTATAAGTTGATTTCGTTTATACTTTATATCATTCTTTTAGGAGAGTGAGAACTGAGAACGTACCCAGTAAAAAATATGGCATGCAAGTATGAAGTATTAAGTATATATACTGTTAATTTATTTTTGGTTCTCCACACAAAAAAAAAAGTACACTGTTAAGATTTCTGTGGAGAAATATTAAAGAGAGAGGTGAAATTCAGAGCGCTTAATTAGGATTTAAAATTGACATGAAAGTTGTATTATTGACAGAGGGTTAGATGTTGACTTTTTTTCTTTTTTAAACCCTTCTTCTTGAGGAAAAAAAAAGAGCTGTATAATACGGTGTTTAGGAAGTCAAATCGACAGCTTAATAATTAATTAAAAGAGGTTAAAACAATTCAGCAATCTTAATTTAGATCATACGTTTTTCTTTTTATAATCAACTTCTTGGGATTTATATGTCCTAGAAGAGTTTAAAACAATTCAACTGTTTATCGGAATTTGATCAAAATATGAGATAGAGGATTAGTTGCACACCCAAAAAAAAAAAAAATAGAGGATTTAGGTTTTCTTCAACAAATAAAGAAAAAATATTAAACGTTACGTACAACCATTTCTAGCCGATTCAACATATTTAGGGCATAATCCGACCCAAAAAAAAACATATTTAGGGCATAATTAATAGTTGAGCTGTCAACGTGGAATACATAGTAACTTTTTTTTGTTAGCGGTGACAATTTGGAAAGTTAAAGCCACTTGTTATTGCGTTGTTTAAAGAAACCCAAATAACACATGAAAACAAGAACACAGCAAAATTGGACTTTGAGTTACTTCAGGCAATGTGAGACATTTTCGTAAAATTGGACTTTGAGTTACTTTGATTTTCTTGTAATATTATGCTCAGACCACTTGGTCGTTAATGGAGCTAAAAAGATGTAAGAGCATGCACATAGTTGATACGTATCATAAACAATTTTTTAGTATTAGTTTTAATGTTTGTTTATTGTTTGAGATTTTTTATGATACTGATAATAAATCTGTTTCCAGTGGTGAGACTGGTATCAGTATCATTAATTAAAAAAAAACTTATTTGCAAAATCGAAAATAAAAATATATAAAAACATAAGATTACAAAAGATAATATTACAATCCATAAAAACGTAGAATATACTTTAAGCAAAACATATCTTGTGGTCGAAGCAGGTAATTGCAGAAACTCATTGAACTTGTAATTATTTTGTCCATCTTATATATAAATAGTAAAAGATTGAAAAGCCCTACGATCAAAACCGTTCAGAGATATTGTTTGAGATGTTTGTAGATGTTTGTTCAAAGATGTTGTTTGTCCGTGTTTGTGGTATTTCTGATCTTGTTATTGGTGTTCTCGTCATTATTGTTTGAGATAGTTGATTGCAGAGCCCTACGATCGAAGCCGTTCAGAGATATTAACGGCCATGATCAAACAAAGCCATTCAGAGACTTTTAATTTAAAAAAAAAAACAAAAAAAAAAACATTCACGGTCCAATGACATTCTGCCACATCACACGATACTGAGTATCACAAGTATCAGTGGAGTGATACTCATCAGACATGTATCAGGCCCAATTATATGGTTTGGTCTTTTGTCTATTAAAAAATTGTTTTTGGATTAATAATACCAAGAAAAAATCACCAATGTACAAAGTTGTGCTCGAGCTTATTAAGGAAACACGTTTTCATAAAGTAAATACCACCGGTTGGGGCTAAACATAGTAAGTAGCTCAACAATTAAATACAGTTTTCAACAAAACTATAATGATAATATTCATTCATTCTATATTTTTGAGTAACAGGTTTAGATAGTTAAAGCCACAAAAATAAAAGAGATCATCTAACTGATGGATTTGTCACTTGTGAAGTACGCTCTTCTTCACAGTTTTTTGCTTCTTATTGCTGTGATGCTGCATTTATAATTAAACAGAGATCCATCAGTTTAAAATCAAGAATTAGATACTCATAAATAAATAAATAATCCTTTGCAAATGTATCTATCAAAACGTCAGAGTCAAGATACTTGCCTTTTGTCTTTCAGCAGCCTCCTGGTCTGTCCTCTCTTTCCAGCTGCTCTTTCGTAGTTTGATAGGACGGTTTCCAACATACTTACCTGTGTTTTCATATTAAAACAACGGACCAAATCAGAATGTTCAACGGCAGTGATTATGGAGCAGAATCATATAAAAAGTTCTGACATAAACAGTGAGATGAGGTATCAAGATGAAGCAACACATCAAACAGATACTAAATCGAGATGCTTACCATTCATTTCTTTTAGGGCTGCTGCTAGATCCGCAGGATTTGAGAAACTCACAAACCCATAACCCTTGGTTTTACCAGTCCGCTTATCTCTAATGACCTGTCACGGTATATAAGATTCTTATTTTTTTTTGTCAAGAGTTTAACCACAAAACTAGCACTGAATACGTATCTTTGTGATTCAAGTTAGAATGATCCGTATGATCTAAGGTCAACCATGCTCTGTTCTGAACATACTATGTGTTTAGGTTTGCAAATGCATCACAGTTGACATTTTAAGCAGTCTAACCAATCATAGGGGATAAAAACTAATGTCTCAAATATATGTTCATAGGAGGAGAGATATACACAGTTACCTTGGCCATATTGAAGGTGGGGAATCGAGTAAATGCCTTGGAAAGAACATCATCATTCACTTCATTCCCAAGATCACCACAGAACAGGCGATAGTCATCTGCCAAATGTTGAACAGAAAGTTGTAAGAAATCCATTTTAACAACAGAGCAGAAAACATCTAAAATCCTATCAATGAACAACTATGATACCATCCCGTAAACTAACATAACAATCAGCAAAATCAAGGGAAAGAAGAAGAAGAGTGCTTACTTTCTGGCCACTCTGAAAGAGTAGGATCCTCCCAAGACTGTCCAGCAGCTTTACGAGGAATGGCTCTCTTTTTAGTTTCTGCTTTGTGTTCGGTTTCACTACTTGCCAAAGCAGCTTTTACATTCTCAAGAGCTTCTGGCGTAATTGTCTGTGCATCTCTCTGAAACAATTGATGTGCCTGCCAATATATACAACCGAATCAAACAACAATGAAGATACCAACTTTCTACCTTATACCTAAACTTGGCAGAAAATTCACAAAACAAGTAAAATCAAATCCAAAGAACAAATCTTTAGCTGTAAAACATGTGAGATCCATAAGTGACAAGCATTACACAATCCTAACGAGAAACTTCAATACCAAAAACAACATTAAACCCCTAAAATCAAAGCACAGAGATTTCGCAAACCCTAATTCGAACCCAGAATCTCAAATACACAACGCTACGAATCAAACTCCTGATATTTTCAAATCCAACTAACCTGCTGGTACTGTGGGTAAGCGTAGACGGCAGGAACCGGTCCAACAGGCTGAGAATAGACCGTAGCTCCGGGAACAGATGCCACCGGCGACGGTACAGCAGGCGAAGGCGCCGCCGCGTAAGGCTGTGGAGGCTGATACGGAGCGGAATAGTAAGAATTAGCAGCGTATGTGTACTGAGACGAGGAAGATGAAGAAGAAGAAGCTGAAGATGGTGGGATTGACATCGGAGAAGCTAAACGCCGAATCGCTCTCGAAGGTTTCAGGAATCGATTCGTCAAATTCTTTTTTATTTTTTTTGTTTTCCCACTTAAATTGGAAAATACGATTCTCTAATTAATGGGCTGAGGCCCAATAGTATCTTATAAAAGCCTATAGGTTCCTGAATCAGACGAGACTACACCAATAGAAGATCGATCGAGAACCGGATTAAACCTGGTTCAGTGTTGTTCACACAAGTAGCTTAAATCCGTTTTTTTAACCAACAACTTTTCTTGTTGCTTTCAACCACAAAATCTGAAAATATTTTTGAAGTACTTAAAAAAAAATCTGGTCAACAATCCAAAATTTGTTTAAAATTGCAAGTACTACATTTATATACGACTCTTTTCAAAAATGTGCAAGAGAATCAGAAATAAATCCAAAAGACTGTACAACAAGGCCCCTCCCAAATAGGGAAAACCCACATGTAGTGTTTTTTTTTTTTTTTTTTTTTTTTTTTTTTTTTTTTGTCATCTAAAATTTTTATTGATTAACTTGTTATGGAACCAAAGTGGAATACAAACGCCCAAAAGAGGGAAACAAAGCCGGCGGACGACATGAATGTCTCCAGAGTCATAGCCGGAGGATAACGAGAAATCCCCAGAATCTAAACCTTATGAAAAGGAAACTAAAGATACTGAAAACACAAAGCTGGATTATTTTAACCTAAACCGAAAGTGGACGAAACCTTCAACTAAAAGCAAAAACAACAAGGCATGAACCTTCCAAATTATACACTAGTCTCAAGCAGCAACAAGACCTCTTCTTGTGAAGGACCTAAGGATGAGATTTATCAAGGATGCCCTCGGCCAACCCGGAGATAACATCTAACCTCTCCTATCAAGATGAGAGCCAATCTCTCGAAAACAGAACCAAGGACTTCATAATCCGGCAAGCACGACTACTGAAGAAACTCAAATACACTTCCGGATGCGACGACGACGACTGATACGTCCATTAACGTCTAGATAGAAGCCTTCAAAACGCGATCAAATCATAACAGATTTGCAAAGCAAGGACAAGGAGAGAAGCCTAACCTCTCAAATAACACCGAACTTGAACAAGCAAGACGATGGAGCGAGACAGTTATCAACCACAGCGAGCAACACCAAGAAGAAAAACAAGTTGCAAACAATGAAGACTAACACAACTTCAATCAAAACGAAGCCTCTGCTTAGGAGGGGAACGAACCAAAAGAAAGCTTATGGCTGAAACGATGGGACAAGGAGCATAAGGAAAGGCAATGGCTGGACTGAACAGTGAAACTCCACAACCCACATGTGGTGCTAAATTAAGCAAAAAAATAATAATCATACTCTTACAACAACAAAAGGTTTAAATAATAATATTTCTTATAGCTAAATTAAGCCTACCTCGTACGGACACATAAATTTCATCTGTCCACGTTGCTTAATCCCTATTAGCCTGAGCCAATGTCGACGAAACTCGTCCATACGATTTTAAAACTCTTGACTTGAGTGCCCCGAGACCAAACTGTCCTATTCTACGTGGCTTTTATTGATGAGGAACCACATTACAGAGATGATAGTGCAAAACCATTCTCGGATCCTTTTGATGATCTTTACCATTCGATTTGATTGCTAGAGTGAAAACATCAGTGTTTGGTAATCAATTCCACAACTCGTGCAACATCAATTTATATATCTCATATACTAGTTGCCGTTGCAAGTTAAAATTCGAACTCAGAAATTCAACTATATAGTTATTAATTAGTTACGTACAGAACTACAGATTAACTGGAGTAATATGATTTAAATAGATTAATAATATCTTTTAACAAAAAGTGTCGACGATGCATATCAAAACCCAAAGATCCAAAACGGTTGGTTAAAGCAAAGAGCATCCGATCAAAATATTAACATCAACGTTACATGATTTAAAACATAAGCGTCATAGGAATTTATGCGTATACGAAAATTTTAATATAATTTTTTTACAGTAAAGATTATATGAGTTTGACTATTGATATAATTACATATCAAACACACAATTTTGTGAGTCCTGGTGGAAATTTAAGATATTCTGAAATTGTCAAATCCACGTTCCGCTAATAAGAAATTGAGGAGAAATTTGTGTCACAAGATTAGCTGTCATCAATAATTGAAACTATATGCTCATATTTTGTCTTTTGCAATTATAGATGCGCTTTAGATTTACCTTTCAAGTTTCTATTTTGTGCAACATTCTCTCACACTCATGTTTTGTCAACATCAAAGTGGGAAAATTATACTAAACCAATCAATTACAGATTTCGATATTTTTCATACATAGTCATCAGTCATCACTAATAAACGGATACTATCTATGCCGCTGAAACAAGAAGTTGACGGTGAACACATATTAACGACATGGAGATGAAGAAAACCACTAAATATATTAATTAGACAAATATGTATCAAAAATAAACTGAAGAAATATAGCCGTTTTATCAGGATTATAATCGTACGTTCAACTTCACGTTTGACTAATGACTGTTTGAGTGGCTGAAATCGAAACTTATGAAATTGAATATCTTTTAACAAAAAAAAAAATAAATCGAAACTTATTCATATGTTCATGCATAGGATAAAGCTAATTACAAGTAACTAGTTTATATAATTATGACCTTACTGCAAAATTATGTAATTAAACTAACAGAAGTCTTCATATGATATCACTATAATTAATTAATGTTCAAGCTTGTCAAAAAAAAAAAAAAAAAAACATCACTTAAATGTTCATGATTCGAAGGTTGAGTTCGATTTATATAAAATCTTGACTTGATGTATCATCATCTAGACAATTGTAATATATAAAAGAGGTCTTGACATAATCATATATAAGGTATATAAGCAAAAAAAAATTTAATCCAAGTTCATTTAACTTATTGATTATAAGAAAAGACAAAACAATAGGTGTAATTAAGAAACAATGATATAAATTAACAGTGGATAATGGAGGAAATAGGGATTGCATGACACAAATACAAAGGTTGGAACGTATAAATAGCTAGATGCGAGCATATATATATGGAAGTAATACGATATTAATGAGTTGCACCATGGTGGTAATTAGCCATCATAGACTGACCTTGCTCCTGCTGCGGCTGCTGTGGTAAAGGCGGTTGCGACTGAGTTATTTGCTTGTTGTTGACCCTTTTCCTCTTCTTCTCATAGCAAACGCCACGTGATTTAGCCTGGAAATCTCTAACCTCCCTGAGGAAAATCCTGACGGACCGTGAGCCAAAAGGGCTAGACTCGGGAGCTCCACCGTTCTCCTCGTAGGCTGCACGGAGACGACCAATGAGGGCGTCGAGTGAGCCCCAGGCTTGTCGGAGAGGACAAGGACAAGGGGCCGGTGGATTTGGGAGGCCAAAGAAGGCGCAGTTTTGGTGGTGGACTTTGGTTTTGCCGAACTGGTCAAGGTAACGCAGAAAATCGAGGACGTGTGCACCGCTGCAAGACGCTAGAGAGAGCGGCGGATGGTGGTTTCTGAGGTATTGGCAGAAAGTGTTCCAGTCACGGCGTTTCTGGTTCTCGTAGCGGCTAGAGGATGGTGGAGAAGAAAAGGAAGAAGGAGTTTGCGTCGAGAGACTGGTATTAGGGTTTCTGCTGTGGTGGTTTTGAGAGATCAAATCCATAGCTTTTTAGATGTTTCTAAATTAGGGTTCTTTCACCAGATCGAGTTTGAGTGATTTAGGGCAAAGATTAGGTTTTTAGTTATTTATAATAATTAAATAACTTTTTTTGGTTAAAGGGTATAATAAAGTAACAAAAGAGAGAGATAGAATGAAGACTTGGATACTTCCTTGTACTGCAAAGTGGTGAGGTAGGTGCTTCAAAAAAGGATAGATTCAGTGATGATGATCAGATGATGTTGTTCAAAAATGGTGAGGCAAAGAGGAACAACCTGCAAAATAAGAAGAGACCTCTTGCTTTTTTTTAATTTCAAGATGAGAGATACAAGTAGAAAGAGATCAAAGTGGGATTTGTTTTTCTTTCTCCTTTTCTACTGTTGTCTTTTGTGTTTTTCCTCTTTTCTACTATTGAATGAGAAGATGGATAGAAAAATAGACACAAATGTCCGTATATATAGCTGCAAAAACATCATAATAGGTCATTTATAGAGAAAGAGAAAGAGATGAGATCGTGAGACTGATCATCAGAAATCATAAATTTTCCATTAAAGACACAAAAAAATGAAGAGAAATTAAATGGGAGAAGGGGACTTAGTGTTACACAGTGTATAAAAAGGTAACTCTATAGGTGAGACTTGAGCGAGACAGAGACCAATGGGCCGACTGGAGAAAGAGACAAATATTTAAATGCATTTTTTATCTGTCACTATTTTTCTTACTTTTCTTTTTATAATCCGTGATTCCGGACACAAACTACTAGCACATGTGGAACAATGAATATATATTTTGTTTAAAATATACATTTTTTTAATCGGATTATAAAGAATAAATTCTTGGGTTGTAATTGGTAATTTATATGTATAAGTGAATTTTGATCGAAAATGACGTTTGATTCACACACGTTTATAAGAAAGTTTAGTAACCGGATTGTTGAACCATTATCATCAAACAGTTGTCTAAATTCTAAACTAAATTATTTTAAAAGTTACCATCAAAAATTCAAAATCATAAAATTCTAAGAATCTTGCAATTTGAAATTTTTTCTTAAATCACCTATTATTATATTTTAGAATGTTTTAAGCTTTTGATATCTAATAAGAAAAATAAAGTTTTTAGATAATATTTATATATATATATATATATATATTTTCTATATGTAAAACTATTAAGATAAAATGAAATCCTTTCTTGGCAAATGTCTCATATCTCGGTCAATGGTCAATTTGTTAATGGTTTCACAAAAAAAATGGTTCTGATTGGTAATCTTAGAGATAAGCATAAAAGTGAAGAAAGAAGTGGAATATAGAGGACAAAATGAATAAGGAAGAAACAAAATTTAAGTGGAAACTTATGGAATTATGGATTTTTTTTAACACTACAAAGGTATTAAACAGTTCAGCTATTTAGACCATAAACTAAAATGATTATAAATGCTAATATCAACAAATAAAATCTATAGAGAAATTTCACATAAGGGGCAGGAGAAAAATTAAAGTCCGTTCAAGATAGTTGCATTCAGTTAAAGATTTTTCTAATTCTTGATTAAAAGGTTTCCAATTGTAAACCAAGAAACTAGATTCAAGTACACCTTTTTTTATTTGAAATTTGAGTACAACCTTCCACACAGTCCAACAAGTGAAATTTCTTAAAATAAACCTTCTCTTCGAGCCGCAATGAGCTAAAACGTTTTCTGAAAATATTAGAAAAACAATTAATCAAAGAATTATAAGCAGAACAAAGAAATTGAAAATATCAAAGCACACATATCAGTGGAAAGCAAACTAACATACCTCAAAGCAAGAGAGTACATATTCCACGTCGACGTCTGAGATTTGGTGATGTAGAACAATCCTGATTCTGTATACAGAGACCATAAACTCGAAGTTACCATTAATTACACCAATAGAGTTAGTATAAGCATTAATCTCGATCCAAATTAATTTCGAGTTTTATCTAATTCTATGTGGTATTACATGATTATAACAATGTAATATATCATATGTACACGTATACCTGAATGTAGCTTGGGGTATGATAAGCACACCGACATCTTCCAAACTCTTACATGCCTCTTCTGCTCCAAATTTTGGATCTTCTGGTATGTCTACGTATATCTGCATATACGAGTTTGTTATATATACGAACAAAAAAAAGTCTCTTAACCGTTCAATCCGGTTCAGTCCTTAACCAACCAATCATTCATTTCAAACACTTACGATGTTGGTTTCCACAGCTGCCACGTTTACTCTTAACCGTTCAATCCGGCTCAGTCCTTCTGGTAATGTAGAAAACCAAAATCAAAATTAATCGGTTAACACGCTCATATTCAATTTGAGATTCCGGAATCCGGTAGCGATCACCTGCCAAGAACCTAGCTTTCTTGTGGTCATCTTCGAGCTTGGCGACATTTTCATGGAGAGCCACCAACGCGGCGGCGCAGAGCACACCTATCTGTCTCATTCCTCCGCCTAAAGTTTTCCTTAACCACCTTGCCTGCATTTTAACAAGTAATTACTTGAACCGGAATTCAAAAAAAAACAAAAAAAAAAATTGCTATTTGATTTATAGCTAACGTACTTTAGTGATGAACTCCTTGCTTCCCACGATTACCGAACCGACCGGTGCACCTATACCTTTCGACAAACAAATCTAGTCGTATCAAAGTGACCGGATTAGATTTCAACCGTTCATAATTTTAAAACATCAACAACAAGACAAAAAGGATCATGTCTTGTGAGACAAAAAACATTAGGCCATAGTGTTAGTTTTGATGATGAGTCATACCGAGACTGAATCAGCTGCATGAACAATCCTCTTCACAGGAACTCCAAGTGCCTGCAAAATTGAGATTGAAAAGATGTACTCATAAGCTTCAAAACGAAATTGAAATGAAAACGCATATGAAAACGAATTTTATATATACTAACCACAGAAGCGTTAAAGATCCTAGCTCCGTCAATGTGAAGCTTCAAACCATGTTTCTTGGCTAATTCTCCGACTTTGTCTATATATTCGACAGGCAGGCATCTACCTCCACAACTACATCAACAAACTCCGGTTTTGTCAAACCAAAATGTCAAAAAATTAAAGAGTCTATCCAACCGGAAAATTTAACACGTCGACGAAAATACAATAAATGTTGTTTTATACAGAATGAACTTTTGGTCATATTTGTGAGACGGTTCTGAGAAATGTAATTCATTTCTCTACAACCTTAAGACATAACCGGTTACTTAACAACATTTGAATTATGCTCTACAATAATTTCATTTTTCTATAACCACTTAGTCCTTTAAAAGAAACCTAAACTTAATCTCTACAACAACTTTAGCTATAACACACATTCACAAAACATTATAATTAGGCTTTGTTTATTTGATTAATAAAACGAACACTTACTTTGCTTGAGTGTTCTCAAGACATATAAGCTTAGTAACCGGATGATGAAGATCTCCTTTGGGACTCCTCACGACAGCTTCAATAGCACCAATCTCCATCGTACCGTCTTCCTCGTTCTTCACCGTCCTCGGATGCACACCGCCGAGGCTTGAAATGCCGCCGTTTTCATATATATGAATGTGAGAGTCATCTCCAAGAATCACTTCACTCCCTCTCTCGTCACAATGAACCAACACGCTTATCAGATTCCCCATTGTTCCCGACGGAACAAACATAGCCGCCTCTTTTCCGGCGATCTCAGCCACCTCTTTCTCCAAACGCAGAGCCGTTGGATCGTTTCCCAAAACGTCGTCGTCTACTTCCGCGTTTGCCATCGCTGAGCGCATTGACTCCGTTGGTTTAGTCACCGTGTCGGAGCGGAGATCCACGGTTCTAATTGTAGTTGGCGTCACCATCTTGATTTGGCTAACTGCGTCGGATTATAACCAAAACATTACATAAAAGATCATATTAGAATTAAACTCAAATAATTAAATAAATATTAAATCACTTGAGGTTTTTAATTTCTCATACCTAGATTCTGTTCTGTTAGGCTATGCTTTTTATTTTCTTGGTGAAGAGAAGATAAGAGATGTGTTTCGAGTGACTCAAATGGTAGAGACTAGAGAGAATGAGTGATCAAATCAAATACGAAATGATGACAGGGAATCTTATAGAAAGAAGATCGGTCCAACCAAATAAGTGTTGGATGCATTATGACAAATTGCTAAAGTAAAGATTTCCTAACATTTCTGCCTAATTTCTTAACTTAATACTGTACTACTTTCCTTGTTTTAAAGTCTATACTTCTTTTTTTAAATGTATAAGTAATTAATTATATGATAAACTATATCAAAATAAAAGTTATGATATTTAATATTAAATAAATCAAACCAATAAACATATTGACATTTTTGCTGTAAAAAAAAACATATTAACATTTTTATTATTGCATGAAACAATTGTTATGTTATTGGTGTAATGTTTTTTTTTATTCTTCATTTTATATTCATATGATATTAAAACATTATTTGCTATGGGTTTTTTCAATAGAAAAGTTACATAAAGTAGAAGAGAATCCGTTAGTATAAATTATATATATATCAGACCGTTGTTTTAGTATATACTAATTTCATCAATAATGAATGTTTGCTTGGCCTAATGGATAAGGCGCTCGCCTCCGAAGCGGGAGATTGTGGGTTCGAAAGCCCATCGCGAACGTATTTTGTTTCAGCAATTTTCTTATCTCGTCGAAACTCGGATAACAACTATAAAACACATTCATATCATATGTGGCTCTTAGTCGACGAATGTATATGCGTCGGCTAATTTGGAAAATCTGATAGCGGCATCCCAATAACGATACTCGTGTATATATAAAAAATTCACATCCTCCAAACTATAATCATAATTTATAAAGATGATTACATGAATAACCCACTCTGACTAATAAGGGCGAGACATGTAACAGCACGAGATCGAGACATGTATATAGTGTAGTGTTTACATACGTAATCAAACATCATCAATCAATTATGTCTTGATTGGTGATGGTATATTGGTATATTCATTTTCTTATGTAACATCTCTAGATGCTTTTGGATAAAGAAGATATGAATATGTTTACAAGAAAGAGAAAGAAAATGATATATTTCTGAATAATGTTTTGTTGGATAAATCCTCAATAATGTTGTTTCGAATCTATGAGCTCTACATTATTATTTAATATATATACCCAAAAAATTTAGCTTCTATATATACGGGTAGATAACCATCCATATATATATATAAGCTTTAGAGTTTAAAGAAATCATGAAGACAGCACAAATAAGACCTCCACAAATAAATTTATAAGCCAACTTGGTCTAAAAAATCAGGCATCTTAACAACCTTTATATGATTGATTAGTACTGCCCTAATAAAAGAAATAATAATTTACTCAACAAAAATAAGCATATGTAGAGTTTATCGTAAATGTCATTTGGAAACTCCCTAAGGTCTTATATTTTATATACTCACATAATCACATCAAGAATATGACTTATGCTTATATTCATCGTTTTTGGTCGATAATAATGATTCTTTATAATAATGACATGTTGAGCATGTTTAGCTTATATAATTTGTCTTAGCCAAAAAAAAAAAGAAAACGTATATAATTTGACTCGTTGAACTATTTTTTTAATATGCTTAGATTCCACTATCTAAAAAAACATTTAATGCAGGTCATATGTAATGCACATTAAAGGTTTCATCTCCGATACTTTATTAATATCACAATTAATGGACAATTAATTAATATTCAACGGCAGTGTAACTAACGGCTGCCGTTAGTTAATTGAGTCTGTTACTTGCTTGATTTTTCTTCTCGAAGCTTGACTTTTGAAACAGAATGCTGTTTAACCTCCTTAAACAGAATATTCTCTTTTTTAGTACTTTGATTGTATTCCTCTATATAAACCTCTCTCGCGAATCAGAGATACGAGGAAAACTAAACAATAAAAAAGAATATTCCGATGACCGGAGAATTCGAACTGGAAAATAACTACCAGCTTTGCGACGAGATCGGTCGAGGTCGATTCGGAACAATCACTCGCTGTTTCTCACCGGCGACTAAAGAATTCTACGCCTGCAAAACCATCGACAAGCGCGTGCTCGTTGACGCGCTGGATCGCGAGTGTATAGAGACGGAGCCGAGGATCATGGCGATGTTACCGCCGCATCCGAATATAATCAGGATCTTCGATCTCTACGAAACAGAGGATTCTCTAGCGATCGTCATGGAATTAGTCGATCCGCCGATGACGATTTACGATCGGTTAATCTCCGCCGGGGGACGGTTATCGGAATCGGAATCTGCTTCAAACGCGAAACAGATCCTCCGTGCGCTTGCTCATTGTCACCGGTGCGACGTCGTTCATCGGGATGTGAAACCTGACAACGTCTTAGTCGATCTCGTAAGCGGCTGCGTTAAGCTCTGTGATTTCGGATCAGCGGTGTGGTTAGGCGGAGAAACTGCGGAGGGAGTTGTGGGAACACCGTATTACGTGGCGCCGGAAGTAGTGATGGGAAGGAAGTACGAGGAGAAGGTTGATATATGGAGCGCCGGTGTAGTGATCTACACGATGTTAGCTGGTGAGCCGCCGTTTAACGGTGAGACGGCGGAAGAGATCTTTGAATCGATCTTGAGAGGGAATTTGAGGTTTCCGCCGAAGAAATTTGGATCGGTATCATCGGAAGCGAAGGATTTGTTGAGGAAAATGATATGTCGCGATGTTTCTCGGCGATTTTCTGCAGAAGATGCTCTTCGTAAGTCGTCTTCGTAATCTGTTTCAAATTTCAAAATGTTTTTTTTTTTTTTTTTGGTGTTGGCTAAGTAATTTTGAATTTTGTAATGGGGATTGCAGGACATTCATGGCTGATGAACGTTGGAAACCTCCAAAGCAAATAATAGAAGCTTTTACGATGTGATTAGAGTGGTAATATATAATAGAGATGTGTATGTGTGTAATTGCTTGATTCGAATAGTCAAAACGTAGTTGTGTTTTTAAAATTCCTACGTGTTTGGCACTAGAGTAAAGTTGCTTAATAACATTTTGTAACGATTCGGAATAAATTTGATTTTGAGATCATTGTTGTGAGTTAGGTCGAAAATCTGAATTCGATCATTTGCTCATCAAGAAAACTAAAAGAAAGGAATAATATGGGCCAACAGAAGGGATCTTTTAGGGATTGGGCCTATCTGATGGACTTTAGATATTTTGGGATATCAAATTTCGGGCCCGTTTCAGGCTAGTTATGTTTTTGCTTATTACTTGGTAGTTAAAACGGTTAATAAACTACAACTGAAAACCGGTCTAAACAAATTTATCGATTGTATTTAAATCATATTCAACATCGATCGGTTAATAGTAACAAGACAAAACCGACTTGGGCGTTCGGAATAAGGTTTCTGTGTACTCTTCAATGCAAAGGCAAATGGAGTTCAATTATTCTCCAGACTTGGTTTTCACATTAATTAATACTCAACAACGTCTAGACTCCAATGTATACTAGGATTTTTAAACTAAAAGGGACATTTCGTATTAAAAACAGCCGTGGACTGATTTACTAAATAATTTTTTTCTATAGAAAAATATCTTTTAGTCAAAATAAAATATTATTAGTATATATGTGAAAGAATATCCACCAATGTTAAGAAGCAAATCTCTTAAGTCAAAATAAAATATTGTTAGTGTATATATGGAAGATCCATCAATGGTAAGAAAGAGAAATGACAACCTTTTTTTGTTACAATCACAGAACCTAAATGTTCTATAAATTAAGCTTTTACTTACACTCTAGAAAATCACACAACATATATTTTTAATAAAGTTTATAGTTGATACAACTAGCAAGACAAAATGGCCATCACAAAGACTTCAGTGACTCTTTTACTCTTAATAATAATGGCTGTTTCGTTGTCTAATTTCAGCGTCTTGGCTTCGGGTATGTTTCTATTTCTAAGTTGTTAATTTCTATTAGGTGTTTATTTTTTATTAGGTTTCATCTTGAAAGCAATGACATTGATATGTATGTCAGTACTTAAATCATGCATATAGTCATATAGATATGATTATATATATATGATATTCATGTGGTGAGTTTGTGGACATGCAGACATCAAACCTACAGGAAGAATTGATAATCAATGCAAGCAGATGTGTTCGGGCGGTTACGGGGACGGTAAATGTGCCGCGGACTGTAGGAAGGCTGGTTTCTCATCCGGACGATGTCTTACTTCTTCTCCTTTCGGAAATAAATGTTGTTGCACCTAGTGATAGAAACCGATCTATATGAGTTTTCTCTTGTTGTATTGCCACAAATCATAATTAATTGCAATAAAATAAAATAATTTTATTTTTAAATTTTTCTTAATCAAAAGTACGAGCTACGATCACATTGCACGAGTCGATTAACATACTCTTTTTTTTTTCCTTTTTTTTTCGATTAACATACTCTTATAGTCTTATGACTATTTAACTAGTCAATTATTACGTACGAGAAGTTGTTTTAAATTTCAATACAAGACTGAAGTGATGATATATTTGACACAACACCATGACAAGTTTTTCATAAAAAAAAAAATTAAAAATTAATAATCATAAACTGTCATCATTTCATCACTGTCACGTATAAAAAATTTATAGGTCATCCATGGATATTGAACTTTTTTTTTGTCTTTTATGATGCAACTTAGAAACCTCCAAAGCAATTAATCGAAGCTATATGTGGTTTCGTTATGATTAGGGTTTAACTTGAGATAAGAGTGGCAATATATATGTGTGTATATATATATATATATATATATATATGCTTGATTCGAATAGTAAAACGTATCTGTACTTTAACAATCCTAAGGTTTGGCATTAGAGATAGTATCTAGAAAACATTTTGTATAAGTTCAGAAAAAAAAAAGATTAATTTCAAATTATGATTGTCAGCTAGGTTGAAATCCTAAATCAACCATGTGCCTTATCGGATTGGACTTTAGATCTTTTGTTAACAATGATGACGTGCATAAATGAATTCTGAAAGTTGAGTTAATAAGTTATTTTCTTGTTTATAACTCAGTTATTTGCATCACTCCTACGATTTCTTCTAGGATCTGTGGTCACCCTTTGGTTTTTAAACAAGAAGGGACATTTTGTATTTCAAAATAGACATGGATTGATTTGTTAAACAATACTTTTTAAAAAAGAAAAATATATTTTAGTTCAAATCAAATTTTAGTAGTATATATGTGGAAGATCCACCAAACCCAATGTTTAAGAAAAATATCTTTTCAAATCAAAATAAAATATTATTAATATAGAAAGATCCATCAACGGTATTTTTTTCTACAATCACAAGAACCTAAATGTTTTATAAATAGAGCTTCTACTTACAATCTAGGAAACCACAACATATTTTTTGAATATATCTTATAGTTGATACAAAGAGCAATACAAAATGGCCACCACAAAAACTTCGTGACTCTTTTACTCTTAATAATAATGGTTGCTTCGTTGTCCAATTGCAACATCTTGGCTTCAGGTATGTTTCTATTTATATGTTGTTAATTTCTAATTAGCTTTCATCATTTAAAAGCAATATAGATGTGATTATATATTATTCATGTGGTGATTTTGTGGACATGCAGAGATCAAACCTACCGGAAGAATTGGTAATATGTGCAAGCAGATATGTTCGGAAACGTATGGGAATGGTTATGTGCCGCGGACTGTAGGAAGGCTGGCTTCTCATCCGGACAATGTTTTACTTCTCCTCCTTTGGAAAATAAATGTTGTTGCAACAAGTGATACAATTCGATCTTGTTTTGCATTGATCTATATGTTTTCCCTCTCGTCGACTTGCCATAATACACAAACGCAATAAAGTATGAACTATTATCAGTCTATCACCATGCACACTCTTATTCCTCAATTACTACGAAAAGTTTTGTAATATTAATATTAGACTGAAGTAATGATATATTGGCACAACGCAATGACAAAAAATTTTAAACTGAAAATTCTAATTTTTAAATACTTATATGGTTGATTTTAATTTCATGTAGTTCAAATTTTTCATTCCTATGTTTGTTTTTTTTTTTTTTTTTTTTTCATTCCTATGTTATGGGAAACGATATTACTGTCTTTGATATATATATCATGGTTTCAAAAGGATTTATCCGGACCATAGGTCCATGGTGAGAACAAGAAATTAACTGTCACATATGAAAACATAAAGATAATCAGAGGTCATATCATGAACTTTGGAAACCTCCTATAAATTTATTTGAGCTACACTGTATGTGGTTTCAATACGATTAGGGTTTAGACTTTAGAGTTAAGAGTGGCATTAGATAACAATGTTTAGGTTGAATAGTTTAATTTTATCTGGATTATAAAAATAGGAAATAAAATTTTTTAAATCTACTACATATTTGTAAAAAAGAAATAGAAAAAACAATTCTGATTCGTTACTATAAATGTCCTCCACGCTCCACTAAACGAAAAATATCTTCTTTTTCCGGTTAAAAGAGAGAGAGAGAGAAATATCTAATCCGGTTTATACCAATCCGGTTCAAAATCGGTTTGGTTTTGTCACAAAGATAAGACCACATTAATAACATCTTCGTCTTCACAAAGTCTGCAACACCTCTCACTGGGGATTCACCATGTTTTCTCTCAAATCCTCAATCTCCTCACCTTTCACACAATCCACCACTCATGGATTATTCACCAACCCGATTACCCGACCCGTTAATCCATTACCCCGTACCGTTACTGCTTCCATGATACCCAAAAAATCCTCTGCTAACATGATTCCCAGAAACCCTCCGGCGCGGCAACAGCTTTACCAACCGTTCCGGCCACCGTCATCTCCTATTCCAACCAAATTCCGTTCACTCGACTCCGCCGGTAAAATCGAAATCCTCGCCGGTCGAATGGCTCTCTGGTTCGAATACGCACCTCTTATCTCTTCTCTCTACACCAATGGTTTCACTCCTCCCACCATCGAAGAACTCACCGGAATCTCAAGCATCGAGCAGAACCGTTTAATCGTCGGTGCACAAGTTCGTGACTCAATTCTTCAATCTATACATGAACCGGAGCTCATTGCGGCGTTCGACACCGGTGGTGCAGAGCTTCTCTACGAAATCCGTCTCCTTAGCACCACGCAACGCGTTGCGGCTGCCACATTCATCATTGATCGTAATATTGATTCGAAAGGCGCACAAGATTTGGCGCGAGCCATCAAGGATTATCCTAACCGGCGTGGTGACGTTGGATGGTTGGATTTTGATTACAATTTACCAGGAGATTGTCTTTCGTTCTTGTATTACAGGCAGAGCAGAGAGAACAAGAATCCATCGGAACAGAGAACCTCCATGCTTCTACAAGCATTGGGGGTTGTAGAATCAGAAAAGGCTAAGAACAAGTTGAACAAAGAGCTATACGGGGAGAAGGAAGAAGAGAAGGAGAAGGAGAAGAAGAAGAAGGAAGAGGAAGTCAAAGCTATTCGGATTCCGGTGGTGAGGCTTAAGTTCGGAGAAGTAGCAGGAGCGAGCTCCGTTGTGGTTTTGCCGGTTTGTAAAGCAGAGGAAGGGGAAAAGAAGATTCTTGAAGCTCCAATGGAGATCATAGCCGGAGGGGATTTCAAGGTGGTTGAGGCGGAGAAAGGATGGAAGAGATGGGTAGTTCTTCCGGGGTGGAACCCAGTGGCGGCCATTGGGAAAGGCGGTGTGGCGGTTTCTTTCAGGGATGATAGAAAAGTACTGCCTTGCGACGGAAAGGAGGAGCCTTTACTGGTAGTGACCGATAGGGTGAGGAATTTCGTGGAGGCCGATGACGGGTATTTCCTCGTTGTGGCTGAGAACGGACTTAAGCTAGAGAAAGGATCAGAGTTGAAGGCGAGAGAGGTGAAGGAGAGTTTAGGGATGGTTGTTTTGGTGGTGAGGCCGCCAAGAGAAGATGATGAAGATTGGCAGACAAGTCATCAAAACTGGGACTGATATAGAATCAATACCCATATCCTGTAATAGATTACTGAGTCATGATCATGTAAAATTTTTGGATAAAGGTGGAAACTTTTTGTTCTAAGATACAATCAGAAACAGAGCAAGATTTTATCTATATGCTTTCTAGTTCCTGTCTTAGTGAAAAAATCCTACCAATCAGACTTTTTTTGGTAAATGTTTTATTAACCGAGCCATTGCTGTGCACGGCGTTCACCGCTGGCTCCAACTGAGCTCCGGATGCTCATTTTCTCATTGGCGTATTTATCCTGAAGCGATTCAAAAGCTGTTACGTCGAGTTTTCCTGTAACTGATTTGCCTTGCTTCCTACGGAGATGTTGTTCTCGAACAGAAGCCCAGAGTTTCTCCACTGCTTGTCTCTGCTGTGATGTGAACCTTGACACGTTCTCAAAGGCATGTTTCACCAATATGTCTATAACAGTTTGGCACCTGAAAATGAATCCAATCATTCCTCAATTTTGCAGTTTTGACATAATATCAAGTTCAATGGGATAAATTCAGCTCAACAGGTACTGTGAATCATGGAAGCATTCTTACCATGGAACTTTGTAACGGCGAGCAGCAATCTCCAAGCATGTAATCAAAGCTTCTCTTTTTGACCTGAGAAACCTCTTATTCTCTTCAGCATCTGTATCTTCATTTGTTCTCTTTATCTTTGTTTTACCATTTTTCTTTCCAGAACTGGGAATCCAGGCATCGAGCCCAAAGGGATCAGACTCGACATCCTCATTATTTCCAGCTGAAGCAGCTTCAGCTGCGTCCTGCGTTGTCTGGCCATCTCCATTTTCCTTCACCGCCGCTTCTTCAAGAGCAGCTGCTTCTTCCACATCATCCTCCTCAGTTGAAACCGGAAGATCAGATATAGCCTCCTTTATTCGAGTAGCAGTCTTGGAAAACTAAACCAAGAAAACAATGTAAATGAGACACTATGAAAACCTCAGAGGATAATGGTTGAAGACAATAATATCCATATTACAGGTCATAACACAGTGACGAGGCAATCTATATTCTAACATAGTCCAAAATATTGGTATAAGTGAGCGATTAAGGTACATGAGGTTCTTACCACAAAGCTGTCATCAGTGAAGAGGTCATTAGCCACAACTGCTTTGAATGTCCATATGGTCAACAGATTCTTCTGGCTTTTATCTAGACACTAAATAAGAACAAAAACATATGAACATTCATCAACATGCTAATACCAAAGTTGAAGGATAACCTGAGTTATATATTTGTTTACCTCGGCGACATCCTGAGCTGCCGAGAACAATGCATGATAGTCTGCTCGAACCAAGCGATCTGTACAAGGAGTTTTTGAGGACATGGCAGCCTCAAGCATCGCAATGAAGTAGCTGCTTGTTTCTGGCTTCACACTACCAGCTTGGATCAGCCGTATAGCAAGCTTTGAGGCTTTGGAGAACTTAGAAGGGTTCTTGATGTGAGATGTTATCTTCTGCATCGCTTCAATCACTTGTTCTTCTGATGCATCGGTTGATGTCTTGAACTGTAGACGCTTTTTAGGAGCTGCAACAGAAATTTCAAAGATTTTATACAAATTGATGGTTCCATTCTTATTCTAAGTAACTCAAACGAGTAAATTGCTTCGGAATTGTATGTACCTTCTGGTTCCGGTGTAGATTCTGATGGTTTTGATCGCTTAAGTGCGCTCTTGAGAACAGGAGGAGCTGTGTCATTTGATGAGCACGGTACCAAAAGGAATCGAATTTAGATAACAAAGACACAGTATCGGATAAATTGTTCGAAGATTAAGCGTACCTGAAACATTGGGTGCAGATTCTTGTGGCTTCGATCGCTTTAGGGCACTCTTGAGAACCAGAGTCGGAGCTGGAGAGGAAATTTCAATCTTTGAATCGTCTGGTTTTGGAAAAATTGGTAGCTCTTGCTGCTGAGATGAAGAAGGAGGTGGCAGCCCTGAGAATAGATTGTCCGCCATCTCTCTCTCCGGTTCGTCGACGGAGACGGTCGCGCACGCGTGTGGGAAGAGTCGGAGCCGAAACTGGATTTGTGTTCGCCTTCTGGGCCTTTTATGAAATTAAATCACATATTCTCGGCCCAAATAGTTTTTGGAGCTAAAAAATAATAATTACTATTAAAATGATTTTCTCTTCTACAGAAAGTTTATGAAATTTCATTTCTTTTTGAAAAAAAAAAATTCATATTAAATACTTTCCGGTCGGTCTATCGCAATTGAACTCCGTACCTCATCCGCGATTATAGTAGGCCTTTCAAATAAATAAAAAAAGAGTGAACTACAAGTGTTATGCTAAAGTAGTCAAATATATTAAGGGGAAAGAGGTAAGACTTGTGCAAGTTAGAAAATAACACAGAAGAAATCATATAATCGGTACAGTCGTATAATTAATTCTTTTTGTTTCATTATTGTGTGTTATGTTTATGTAGTCCCGAGGAGTTCAACCACCCTTTGGCTTTTTTGTCTACCTCAATTAAATTAATCAATAAATAATGTTTTAGCTATATTTCTACATAAATTATGTTTTAGTTGAGAGTTGTTGAGTAGGAAAAAAAAAAGAACAGTAAAAATTAAAAAATACTAAAGTAAACGACTTTCAAATTTTTGTTTTTCTTTGGATATAATAATTTCGAATAGTATGCATGTATAATATGAAGGCGATTAAACTTTACTTTAGACAATGGATAATATGATAAGGAGGTGGCTGGAAAGATATATTGGTTAATTTTGGTATGTTGAGTCATTGAAATATCTATATACATTTTTGGATGACTTTTAGCAAATAA